CAAGTCAAAACACTAGTAGGAAAAAATAAGTGTGTTTGGTAAGGTACCTAGAGGTATCGTTTAAGTAGCTTTTATCAAATAATAATATTAGCATTTGAATGGTAGCTGGTAGCTTTAATTTTTACAAATTTTCTTTACATTTTGAATATTATTATGCTTGTACTTTTACTTTATATTAACATTTCAACCGCTATTTTTTGCCAAACGCTCATACTATTAACTGCTTCATTGAAAATTAACTTATATCAACTTCTAATTAACAGCAATTCGCTACTCTAAAATCTAAACTCTGTTCGCTATTAATTGCAATGGTTCCACTTTAGTACCTAATTAGGAAAGTGAGTTTAATGGAGTTAATTATTGTGTAGGTAGGATTTGTGGAGAGTTAGAAAAGAAATAGTGAGGAAATGGATTGTTAAATACGGTAAAGGCTACACATACAATTGTTGTATGTGGTCCCTACATGCAACCTCACTTTGTTATGTTTTTATTGGCTATAATAATGGGCCCATGTTCCATTAGAATTCAATTTATATTTTACTCCTAATTTTCTTCTCTTTTTTGATGATGTGTTAAATTTTTAGTGGTGTTGTATGTAGGGACAACATAAAATAATTATATGTGTATCAGCTCTCTATTAAATACTAGCCTTCCATTGATTGCTCCAGACAAGGGGGCCATGTGGGTAATTATGTCAAGTTGTCAACCATATTGTTCATTATTATGTGAACCATAAATTCAAAAACAAAACAATTCACAGTTCAAAACGTGTTGAATTAGGTTTTTATTTTTATTTTTATTTTTTTTATTTTATTTGATTTTTATTTTATTTTTTGTTATTAGATAATAAGCATAAGTGTCAAATCGTTTACTGGCCTCAACCTAAGTATAAGTGTCAAGGAAACCTTTTGCATGCACCCGGTTTACAATAATTTTATTGTACATCGAACATTTTATGAAAAGTGACCCTTTTTTCTTATAAAAGTGACCCTTTTTTTTATACAAAAGTGACCCATATTTTCACAAACGTGACCCTTTTTTTCACAAAAAGTGACCCTTTTTTTTTACAAAAGTGACCCCTTTTTTTTATAAAAATAACCTATATTTTCACAAAAGTTACCCTTTTTTGCGAAAAGTGACCCTTTTTGTTTATAAAAGTGACCCTTTTTCTTTACAAAAGTGACCCTTTTTATTACAAAAGTGATCCATATTTTCACAAAAGTGACCCTTTTTTTTTACAAAAGTGGCTTTTTTTTCACACAAGTGACCCTTTTTATTACAAAAGTAACCCATATTTTCACAAAAGTGTTCTTTTTTTTTTTACAAAAGTGACCTTTTTTCACAAAAGTGACCCTTTTTATCACAAAAGTAATTGAGCTACGTATGCAAATTGCAAAACAAAGTATCAAAATCTCACTGGTTTTTTTTTTGTTTTTTTCAAAAGTAAACCAGACAAGTATTATTTTACTTTGATTCCAAAATTTTTGCTACTGCTTCCGATTACCATACAAGCATCGTCACCATCATTACCTTCGGAAGCAAGGAACGAAGAGCTTGATGCCGCGATCGAAGGAATGAACAACCAAACACTCAACAATCGTCAGATCACTGTTAACGAGGCTCAAGCTCGCGGCAGTGGTGGCTTTCGTAGTGGGTGAAAAATTAAATGAACATACATACCTTGAAATTAGCTGTAGAAGATGAATCATTGATCAAAACAGGAAAATTTTGTTACAAAATCAAGATATAATCGTAAAAAAAAGAAGGAAATTGAAGAACAAAGAAGAAGTGCAGAGGAGAGAGAAGAAGTGCAGAGGAAAGAGATGAAGAGCAGGAAAAAAAATCAAATACAAACCCATGAGAGAAAAAAATAGAATCTTGCGTATGTAAACTTTCGCACGCCATTGCCATTCATTAAGTTATTGTAAACCCGCTTTTTTTAAACTTTTGTGAAGTGTCAAATCGTGTACTTCTAATAAATCATTTATTATCCAACAATGGGGAAATTTGGTTTACTTTATTAAAAGGGGAAGGAAAATGGATCCTTTCAATTATCTCCTTACATTAGGTATCCAAACAAAAGATAATGCATCTTTTTTATTTCTCTTTAATTCATTCCCTACTTCTCTCTATTTTTTCGCTTCTCTCTATCCAAACATAATGTAAGGCTTTTAACAATTACTTATAGAAAATTATTTTAAAAAAAATATGTAATCCCCCGTATTTTTAAATATTTTATAAATGAAAATTTATTTTATTTATAATATTTATTTGTTATTTTTCATAATTTAATTTCAAAAGTTTCAAATTATTAATCTGGATCAAAAATTATTTGAACAAATTATTTTATGCACCTTTATTCTACAATTTATGTCCAATCACACAAGCCTAACCCATTTGTTTACTTAATCGACCCATTATTTTTATGAGGCCCAATCTTCCTATTTACCCTACAATTCTCTCCTATAAATACCCCATGAATCCCCAAAATTTTCCCACACAAAAAGGTTAGTCTTATTTTCTTTCTCCTTAGTTTTATTAATTTGTGTAATTATAATTATTGATTTATGGGTTTTGATTTTATTGTTTGAAATTAATTTAATTAGTATCAAATTGTATTTTGATGATTAAACTTTATAATTTCAGATTTTATAAGTGTCAGGATTTTCAGATTTTGTAAATTTTATAACCTAGGGTTTTTAATTATTGAAAATCATGATTTTAGGGGGTTTATGAACAATTGATTTAGGGCTTTTATAGTAATGATGTTTTGAAATTTTGGTGATTATAAATAATGATTATTTTAACTTAATTCCAGATTATTTTGAACACTTAAATTCAGGTTTTAATTTTTAGATTTCCGTTCGTTAATATTAATCATGTTTTAATCCCGATCAGGTTATGAACTCATCCGATTTTGATGAAAAAGTAGCGTTTTTCTCGTGGCCAAATTCTGCCTCTAAATATGCTTTTCGGGCATTTTTTGATTTTAACAAAGTTTTTTTATACTTAAAATATTATCCTTGAGTTTGATTGATAAAATTAATTATGTTTAAAGTTAATTAAGCATAAATATATGTTTTTATTGAAGTTTTATGTGCTGGAAATAGTTTCTAAGTACTACTTTTGATGTTTTATAAAGAGGGTTTAATCACCCACTAAAAAGGGAGATTATTAGGGGTTTTTAAATAATTTTCAGATTTTTATTAAACTTTAAACTTGCTGTAATTTCATGTATAAGAGTGTATTTTAAGGTTTTTATGAAGAAAATTCAAAGAACTATATATAAGCCTTTAATTTTAACTAAAGGGAAGGTTTTAAAGTGTTGTTTGATTTGGATTTCGAAGGTTTTAAAGTAAGTCAGTATTGCTGTAAATTTGATTGATTGGGTATTGATTGAGATGTTATTGTTTGGTTTTGGAGAGGAGTTTATTGAAGGTGATTTCTAGATAGTAAAGTGGCATACCAATTCAATTCGTTTATTCAAGGTACGTACAAGTTACGAAACCTTGCTTGTAGGTGCATGTTTAAGGACGGATCGAGAACTTAGTATCATGTATAGGGTTGACTGGGTTAAATTGTTTGGTTATACATTGTGAATTTCAAATGATGTGCACTGTTTTATATTGCAAGTATTATTTGTGCTCTAATTATGCAAGGTGCGCTTAGAGGCAAATGTATGCAATTGGTGTAAAAATTAATTTATTACTCATTCATGATTATGCAAACAAGATGAGTAAAGGAAGAATTCAAGTCTTATAAGACGAGGTTAAGGTTTTGGGGTGCCTTATGCACTCAAGGTGTTTATACACCGAGGTAGTAAAGGAATAAATAATAAGTGTTGTTTGTCACTAATAAATCAAGAATTCAAATTGGAAACTTGTCTTGTTTGATTGAATTGTGTTTAGAATGTTTGTATTGTTATGCATATGAGTCATCAGCAAGTCTAAACCTGTAAATCACATAAAGTGCAAGATGGATGAGCAATAAAACTCTAGATTGGTGCACTTCTGGATTAATGACAATCAGGGGTTGGGGTACACGGGGTATTAGCCGTATACTTTTATCGAGGCCATCTGATCTACGAGTCTCCTATTTCAAATATTTTTTAAAACTAGGAGTTAGGTGAGATCTCATACTAACTACGGTCACGGAGTCGCGCCCGTGGTCGTTGGATGTTTATTGATGTTTCCGAAAGGAGGCATGGGGTTTTTCTTTTATTAATGTTCTAAATGGGACATGGGTTGGACAACCTTGTCTATTGCTAAATCCAATGAAATAAATAAATAAGTTAGTTAATATTAACTAGTGAAGTCTTAATAAATTTGATGGTTGAGTCATGTGCTGAGTCTATAATTTAATGATGCTTATGCTTGATTATTAGTAGCATGTTAGGTATTTCTTAATTAATTTCGCAGCTTGTATGTACTCACCTTTATTGATTGCGTGCTTTTGTGTGTCTTTCTTTGGTCATGGTCTTCGCCTTTCAATGACCCTGTGATGATCCAATTTTTACACTTGAAATATTGGGGAGCAGATTAACCACATGTTCTTACACATGCAGCATTCGCATCAGGGTTGTAGGATTTTAAGTGGAGAGTTGGTTATTATTCGCAGTTTATTTCTTTTCATAAGTTTGAATTTATTTAAACTCTGGTTTTATTTATTTACTACTTTTGCTGGGTTTTGAATAAGGGCCTTAATGGTTCCAAGTTGTATGATTTAATTTGGTTTTGGTTATTGGTTTTGAAACTTATTTATAACTAAATTAGTTTTTCCGCTGCTATTTTCTAATAAAGCCTTAACGTTTGAACACGTGGCGGTAGCACGCCAGTAATTCTCTTGAATATTGTTTAGAGTCCTCACAGATTTAAAGAGAGAATTATTGGAGTGTTACAATGACATATTTATATTGTATATCAATAGTACAGTTGTGGAGATTCTTCGGATCATAGGGAGTAACATACATAGTTTTGTGTAATTATCAAAATACAAATAGCTCAAACAAGAACAAGAACAATATTATTTTAAATTCAAACTGATGATTCGACTCAATGTATAAGCTAAACTAAATATAATAATAATCATAAAAACAATAAGCTAAGCTCCCCTTCCAACAAATGGTAAATATTGGACGGGTCACACACTAGTTGACATCATAATACATAAAACATAAATAAAATAACACTGCATCAATCTTAACGTGGAAGTTTTTATTTATTTATTTTTTCTTTTTTGAGGAAATCTTATCGTGGAGCTTAAAAAGAGGGTTGATAATATTTAGAAGAAAAATTAGTGTCCTTAAACTTTTCATGGAAGTTTTGATCAAACCTATTTGTCATTGAAGGAGTCAAATAATTAGTCCAATCTCCAACTTCCCCTTTCCTAAACAAAGCTTTGTTCTCAAAAATTCCATAAGCATTACCACTATCATTCACTTTCATTTCCTTCAAATTTTTAAAGCTACAAAGCTTGATAATACCATCTATGATACCTTTGTTTTCCTCTTCTTCCGAAAACGGGTAACCCACAAACTCCGCAAGCTTTTTCAAATGAGCTTTCGGATCCTCCTTTAGCCCTTCATATTCCAAGAACAACACCTTATTCGGGTTTTGTATGCTTTCCTTCCAATACCCAAGTACATGATCTTCATAAGGACCATAAGGAAATTTCCCTTCACAAAACTTACCAAAATATTCCTCAGACTTACTATGATCTAGCTCTGTGCTCATGTTATGGCTAAGCCGATGATAAAAATGCCATGACGAAATAAAAGTGTCAAAAGGATTTCTAGTCACATAAATAATTCGAGTTTTAGAAGTTTTTACTGATTTTGGTAGTGATAAATAAGGTATATGGGTGGCTAAGAGTCGAGGCGAGGGTAATTTGGTCAGATCAGGTAGGGTTCCATTAGTGTTATTTTCAGGTGGGAACTCCATATGAACAACAAGTTCATGAGAATTTTGAGTATGAAGTGGGTGTTTGTTAAAATCGGAAAAGATATTCCGTTTTACAATAGCAAAAAGGAGGGATCGTAACCAAGTAGAGCCGGTTTTTGGAAGGCTAGCTAGAAGGATATCTGTGTCGTGTGCCTCAAATTGGGTTTGAAATAAGATAGTAGATTTAAAAATATTAGGGGAACACCAATAACCCTCGTATAGACTTATGGGAAAAGCATCCATCCATAATTCCTTTGGGAGTGAAATTTCAAGATGTTTTACATAATCATCTAATTCCTCTATTTTAGGGTTTTTTGTGGTTGTTTCTAAGGGCTCCATTGGCTAGTGATCGATTATGTTGGATGGAAACAAGGTCTTACTACCTATTGCTTATATAATGTATAGAGGAAATTACTTGTTAAATATTTTATTCCATTGAATAATGATTAAACTAAACAAATTTAAGTCAAATATTGGTAAGTAGATTCTCATAAATGTCATAATATTTAAAGCATTTAATGACATACGTACTTACTGAGTGAGTAACGTACATGCAATTCATGCTGGTATGAATAAAACAAACAAAAAAACAAGTATTGGTGAGCGAATCCCCAAATTAATGCAATAAATATAGTAACATGTTGCTGCTGCTCACGAAACGAAAAGTATATTAAACATTATCCATGTCGATGGTTATTTGATTGATAAATTGAATTAAGAGATTGCAAAATCCAAAGGTTAATCAAAGAAATATAAAAGAAGTATTGGTCATGTTTAAGGAAAATATGGAAGTTGAAAATGATCAATCCGAAGCAGGCGCCAAAACTTTGTTTTGAGGTTTCACGAGCCTCAACGTTGTCAAAGCTTTTATGAACAAGGAAAGCTATTGAAGAAAAGGTCACATGTTCAAGTGACCTGTTTGAAGACCTTACTTGGTGATGAGTTGATCCTGCCAAGAAAAGAAATGCTAGCCAAGGTCAAATAGTTTCGATTCTCTCCGCTACTCTCTTTAGGGCGTGTTTTATGTTTCTATAAGAAAATCCTCATCTGCAATATGTCCGGCCAAGTCCAATTTAATGTTGTATTTAATTTCAAAAGTTATAAAGGCTTAAGTGTTAACAACCAGATTTTCAATTCTCAAGTTGTTTTAATTTTGAAGTTGGTAGTGGTTAGTCTTAATTCTTATTTGGTATGTTGTAAACTCTGATTATATAAATATATTTTGCTTTTGTAAAAATTAAAAAAAAAAATTACAAAAAAAAAACCTCCAACTAGTCAAATAAATATATTTATTTATTTAACTATTTAATTGTATTAGTTAATTGTAGAAAGGTAGACTTGTCAGTCGGGTTGGGTTCGGATTGAGTCGCTCAGGGTCATGAGTCATTCGAGTCGGTCGGGTCACATTTAGTGGCAGATCTATCCTTGATCACGGTGGGTCACGCGAACTAGAAAAAAATTAAATCTAACAAATGTGAACACGTTGAATGAAGAATTGAAGGGAAAAGAACAAAACAACAGTAACATAATAACATTATTCTTCTCTCTCCGAAAACTTGAAAGTCACGAAAATCGCCACACCATTGCTGCTTGCCGCCGCACCTTTCAACCACCACCTTGCCCGCCGCCGCACCTTTTAGCCACTTCCCAGTGCCTACGGCCCACCGCATAGTCGTACTCCACTCCTATAACCTTCGCCTTCTAGGCTAGTTAATTTATTTTTAAGATTTTAATTTCGTATTATACACTAATCGTTGACTTGTTGGGTTGATTTTGCGCTTAATTGAGTGTTTTATGTTATTTAATCTAGTGAATTAGTGAGTATGTTTTTTAAATTGTTGTTTGTTATTAAATTTATCAAATTAGTGAGTTAGGGTTTCTGATTTTTTTAGGAATTGATATTATTGAAGTTTTGATTTTTTTTCTATGAAATTGATATTATAAATTGACAATGGGCTAGTAAAATTGATGATTTCATATTTAATTTATGAAATTAGAGGGGTTAAGAATTTCTTTTGGCATGATCATGCAGAAAGATTCGATCTTTCGATCACCAAGTACCCCCGATTCTTAGCCCAAACTTGAATACCCTAGTCGCAATTTTTGAAATAAAAAAAGTTTGAATCCCCCTTTACTTCAACCTAGAAGAAAAATGACTATCACCGTGTATTTTTTTTGGTATTATAGAGTTCGCATTCAAAACTCTGTGTTTTTTGTGTCTCGATGAACCCTTTGATGGGAAAGCAACCAGAAGGAAGAAGATGAAGAGTAATGAAGAGGGAGAAAGAAGGAGAAAGAGAGATAAACGGAGGAAATTAAAATCAGGTAGTTGGGTGAAATAAAAGGGGGCATTTTTGTCATTTTGCTATTTTGGTTAACCGTGGTTTGATTTTATGTTTAAACACCACCATTAATGTCATCATTAGGAGAAAAAAGATAATTAATGTCATTTTGTATAATTTAAAAAAAGGCGGGGGGGAGGGGGGGTTTACCTTTGATGCGTAGCAGAAGTTGTGGGTCAACGTTGAGAATTTCCCAAAAATTAATTTATACAAGTAAACATTATAACAAATCCAACATTTTTTTTTTTCTTTTCATATGAATGTGCAAAATTCCAAGTCTAGCTAAAAAAAAAAAAAAAAAAAAAAAAAAAAAAAAAAAAAAAAAAAAAAAAAAAAAAAAAAAAAAAACAGGGGGAGTACGTACTACCTTTCACTAACCTTTCAAAGGTAAAATGGCCTTTTGGTTATTTCAAAAAAAAAATGACAATTGACATGCACTATTTGCTCAAAATAGAACATGTCTGATTGATAATAAGTACGTCATTTTAATTTTGGAAAACCGACAAAATGTCTTATTATTTTGACAATTTTTCTTATTCCTAAACAAAAAGGATGGAAGAAAATACTGCATTAATTTAACTTTATATTATGTACAATATAACATTAAGAGAATAAAAATTACTATTACTTTTTTAATGTTGTTTCTCTTCATCTCACAATTAAAAACGTTGCAACACAAAGTTTTTTTTGAATAATAATGTTGGGTTTTGGTGATTCACCAGCCATCCGTGGCTGAGACAGCAAAGGGCATAATATGCATAGTCGCGGCTATGAATACTGCTACTGTACAGTGTGCACGTGTCACTTGACTCATACTCTGTATTGTTTTGGCCTTGTGGGTTTCGAAGGGGTAACAATTGTATGTACTACATATGATTCGCATCGCAATAAATAAATATTTTTTTATCTCATAAATAATACCTCTTTGTTAGAATCCGAGGTAGTATAATTAATTATGTAATCAATTGATTGTCTCGATAATTCTCAATCATTGCAATTATTGACATGATCATTGTGTTATGCATGAATTATTTGATGTAGTATATATACTCAATTCTTGTTAGGTTGGAAGTATGAGTCGTGTTGTTCCACTTGAAATATTTAATAAAGAACCACTAGTTTATAACCTAGGTGAGTTACTCCTTTAGTTGACATATGATTTTGAAATGAATCTTCACTTAGGTTTATAAGTGAACTTATGTCCTTCATGGGAAAATTATATAAAGAACAACTAGTTTATAACAACCTTTTAACCCCAAAACTGTACCACCACTTCTAACTTCAAAAACCACCATCCCAAAGCACTAATCTATCCTCATCAACTCAGAAAATCCTCCAACCATCCCGAATATAGCAAGAGGACAGCTAAATATTTATACAAGAGGAGGAAAATAAAAAAAATAAAAACTTAATTAAGAAGAGTTGGCAGGTGGTTGTAATTAATTCTTCTTAGTGGAGGAATTAGTTAAGGCACTAGCTGACGTGTCTTCCACTAATTATTGTGAAGATGATGTCTCAACACTCTATGTCTCTACACTAAACAAAACTCGAGCTAGGAGCTTTCAATTCGTGTCGGACATGTGTGTGGGATGAAGTACCGATCAAAATATACTGATATGCTTTGTTATATTCAGCTAGAAAATGTTCATTGTTGTTATAATAAATGTTCATTCTGGTAACGACCTCATAAATATGTAGTTGGGCTCGACCTCAGCTAATAACGATTGAAACAAAATAGATTAAGAGAAAAATGGACTGTGCTATTAATGAAAATCTCAAGCAATTTTTGAATCAAATATGCAAACTAGCCTATCACTGGGTTTAGGTCGAGGAGATGCAATTAGATGTCTACATGTCTACATACTACAAAGTGTGACACTTGGTGAACATATAAAATGTCAAATATTGATGTTTTTAAATTTCATGGCCTGACTGAATATTAGTTAATGTATCACTTCCTCAATCCTTTTATTAAGAGTCTACACTATTTGATTTTTTTCACAGGAATTAAGAAATTTGTAGATTCCTTAAAAGTAATAATTGGGAGTACAAATATAAATGCGGGGTTAGGGAGATATGGAGAGAAAGAAAAAGTGATAGAAAATTTTTTACAAGAGGGGGAGAAAAAGTATTGAAAATTGATGTTAAAAGTATAAAAAAACAAAAAAGAAAAAGAAAAATGATGACAAATCATCAAAAAAAAATAAATAATATTGTTAAAAAGTACAACCTTGTAATAGAAATAAGCTCTTACTTTTGGTTACCAAAAATAGAATACATGCTCTTAATAAAAGGATGGAGGGAGCTGAGTAGTCAAATGCCATGATGAAAAAAAAGTGTCTACAGAGTATTGATTGTAATAGTGAAAGATATGGTATATGAGTGGCTAAAAGTAGAGGTTAGATAATTTGGTTAAATCAGGTTGGGTTCCAGACTCTAGTAGTGTTGTTGAAAGGTAGATACTCAAAATGAAGAACAAGTTCATGGGTATTTTAAGTAAAAAGTTTGGTGTTTAGTAAAATAGAAGGAGGGATCGCAACCAAGTGGAGCTGATTTTTGAAAGGCTATCTAAAAGGATCGATAACTGTGTCATGTTCCTTAAATTGGGTTTGAAATAATATTTTAGATTTAAACATTATAGGGGAGCACCAAAAAGAGCAAATTCAAGTTTATCATGTTGAGAAACATTCCTCGTTTATCAAGGGGCTTTTTAGTACTTTCATACGTCAAAGGTAAGGGTAGTACTGTCTTTTTTGGTTGGAGCTGTAACTCTACACAGTTGACGATCGTTTGAAGGCGTTACTCTCTCTCCTCTGTCAATTTCTCTCTTTCCTCTGTCAAAATCGTTGTCCTATTTTCTCTCTCCTCTATTATCTATCCTTCATTTTACTCCCTCCCCGCTCTCTCTACACAGTTCCGTGGATGTTTTGTTAGTGGTTATTTCCTTGTACCCAATGTTTCCGGAGGATTCTCGGGACCTGGTTGCGGACGGCAGTCGGAGGTAATATCATGTCAAATTTCTGGAGGCAACAATACGTCAAATTTCTGGACGGTCGAAGGTAAGATCACGACAAATTTCAGTGTGTGTCGATTGTTAATACTTTATTCTACGTGTTTTATATAATTTGAAGTTATCTTTGAGCGATGTCGTGTGCCGATTGTTGTGACGGCGATTTCAGTTTAGAGTTGATTTAGGGTTTGAAAATTAGTTGCTGAAATTAGTATATTAATTCTGTTTGCACATGTGCGTTGCCTGATTAATGTTGTTTTATGTGCTTAAAACTAGGTTGTAGAAGAGGAATGGGTTGCTGAAATGGTGAATTCGGCTATGGAATTTAAACACAATGAGGAACAAGACTGTCGTTGTGTACATCTTGAATTGGTAAATGCCTGGGCCCTATATTATCTGCAGTACATATTTTTGTGGTTGTTTATGCTGATGCTGGCGTTTGGTGTAGGAACTTGGTCTGAATGCAAAACGGAAAAGGATTAGTGATAAGGTATTGGATGTCATTTGTTTGATTCATTAGTATTAGTTGTTATTTCTTATCCATTGAATGTGATGTATTCTGTGTTTCATATATGGTTGCAAGATTAGACCGCTATACCAAGAGATGTTCAAGGTAAATATATGAGTTCATGTTACTTGTATCTGCATATGTTTTTAATTTGTTGAATATTGCACTGTTTGATGATTTTGCCATATGTGTAATGTGAAGGATGATTGCATGACTGTCGGTGGGTTAGTAAAAGCTAAGGGTGAGGTCTTGAAGCAGTATGCAATTGGTACCTCAAAGGTTTGTGTTTCATGTATTCTGTTGTAAATTGGTATTGAAAGGATTAGATATCATTCAATACTTATGTTAGGGATTATTTGCAGGCTCCAAACTTGACATGTCGCATAGAGTCTTTTGGTAGGATATGTCAGAAGTTTGATGGCAGACGAAGGCGGTGGGTCACAGAAATGGGGTTTGGGGGTTTGTTGCACCTTGCTGCTTTAGGGATGCAGTTTCCAAGGCAACTGGCATATTGGTTACTGACTCGTGTTGATCCGGTTAGAAAAATAATGATATCACCAGATGGTAAAGAATTTAGGTTGTCTCCAAACCTAGTGTATTGGGTTTTAGGAATTCCAAACGGTGGGAAGCCAGTTCCTACTAAGAAAAACATGACCTCTGAAATAAAGGAAAGAGTAGATGCATTACTGAGAGAGTATGGTAGTTCTTAGGAAACCAGGTGTAGTAGATATGAAGGTCGTGTGTACATTAAGTAAGGGTATATCTGTTAATCACATGGTAATGGTGAGACTTGAGGGGGAATGGAAAGATGGGGAGGAAGCTGAATTTAAGACCTTATTTCTATTGTTGTCCCTGCATATGGTTCTATGTCCCACCCAATCCCCTAGACTATCGGCGGATCTTGTTCCTTCGTTAACTTTTGCACAAGAGTGTACTGATTTTGACTGGTGTGGGTTGGTTGTGTCAAAGTTATTATGTAGTGTGGCGACTTTTGCCCGGACGTTTTATGCTAATGGTTATGCTCGAGGAAGTGGAGGATGCTTGCTATTCATTGTGGTAAGATATGTCAGTTGCTGATGCTCTAGTTGATGGTTTCAATTACATTCTGATATGTTAGTGATGATGTTTGTAGGTTTTCTATTTGGATAGGTTGAATAAGGTTCCACTTTCTTGGGGATTGTTTCCCAGGATTAAGGTGTGGAGTATGCATGAGGTTGGTTTAGTTGCTAGACTGGATCGGAAGTCTCTTGATGGTGATTTTGGAAAAATGGGGGTAAAAGCATTTCATTGTGCTGTAATGGTGGGTGATTTGGTTACTAACTGTTTAGTGTAAATTAATCGGTTGCTATTTAATTGCAGATGCTTGATGTGGCATATGGAGAGGACCACCCCAGGGAGGCTTGTGATAGCAATGGTCCCATTGTGATGCACAATGAGGTATGCATAGCATAGTTAATGGACAATATCAGAATCTTTATTGGTTTTTGCTAATGAATCGGTTGATATTCTGTTTAGGTGGCTGAGGAAGGTCCATATACACATAAAGCACCTAAGGCACGTCGGATTAGATACACCGCGATTCCCTGTTTTGTTACCACCCATTGTCATGCTCCACCATCTAGGGAAGGCTTTTGACGTGAGTTATTACTTATTCAAAACCTGGTGCATGATTGTGAGATTCAATGGTCCCGTTGTCATGCGTAGTGAGTGTATTTTTGCACGTTGTGAGTGCGGGTTTTACTGTTATGTACGATTGTTAGATTGTGAGATGAAAATTTTGTTGTATGTTAGCAATGTAGTTTGAACAATAGGCCTTGCTGTATCAACTGTAATAAATGTTCCCCTGTGGAACGAACATTTGATAGCCAAATATGTTCACTTCATGTAAGGCCTTTGAATTTGAGAATAATTTTCAATTCATTTGATGAAAATACTGAAATAAACATTACAGATCTAGTTTGTTCAGTACATACTAAAGTTTGCTGATTTAGTACAAACTGAAACTAATCCCTAGCAATTGACCTAGTGGCAATTGCTGCTATTAGAACATTGTTAGAATCTGCACCCTCCTCCCAGCAGTCCATCTAATCCTGCATTAGTTATTAACCATTATTTCTTCACTACAATGACTAATTCCCAGGCGGATATCCAATCATGCATTAGGTCCCTGCAACACGAGGTGCATATAATGTATTGTATTCAGGCAAGGAAGTTATCTGGAACTTAATATTATGTGAAAAAGGGGCGGTGTTAGAGACTAACCTGAATCACACCATGGACACTGCTGAGAGTGGTATTAATAGGAACAAAGTCTACGTACTCCTCTCGCCAGAATACCACAATTCCCCCTGAAATACCTGTTGGATCAACCATCATCCATTTATCGTAAGCAATCATACTAAGGACTGCAGCTGTGTCTTATATGCATAACCTGTTATCTGAAATAACAACCATATGAGGTTGGTGCTGTATGATTAGGTCCTTGATGTTTCGGAGAAATGATCGCCGAGCCATTCCTCTTGCATTCCATTATAGTATAAGTAAGTCTGGGATGGTTTGAGGGTGATGAAAAGGCTCTACCTGTTCTTCTGTGAAGCTCGTGACATACTCTTTCTCCAGTTCGGTGCAGGGATCAATAAGGACATAGTGCCTAGGGACACAGCATATGTGTATTGGCCGTTCCTTGTCCGGTGATCCGCTTGGTTCCCAAGATACAGTTAGCTACATCTGGTTTTCAGGTCGCCTGGCGCAAAGTAACTTCATAGCATTTATCCAACTCACTATGTGCACATTAACTGCCACATAGCCGAGGTTAACCATTTCGATCACATGGGGGGAGAACTGGAGGTGGATCCAGTATGTAGGCGAATTCTGGAGGGATGACATCCATTGACCGTTCTTCTAACATTTTCTCCATTAACCAGAAAAAAAGCTGCTTCACCGGAGGCGAGAGAAATACTAAATCAGAAATGTTTGGGAGGAGGGCTGGGATCAGATCTCCCTTGTTATTCAGCATTTTCATCTCTTTCCATTCTTCAGGTACTACAAGTGGGTTGTAGATGATTTGCCTCAGCACCTCCGCCGGGGTGACCTTCACATCTTCGATATGAGCTGTCTCAAGCATGAACATAATATTGTTTGGGTTCAGGTCTGATATCCCAGCTGCAGGGGGGGCTAGATCTGAGACATATGTGTTCCATGTTTCGAGTATTTGCTGCTTGTACTCAAAAGGAGGTGATGCTAGCTGGTTTGGGCTGCTCATTGGGGTTGATGATGGTGATGGGGTTCCTGGGTTGTATGTTTCATAGTTTGAAACCATTTTCAGAGAGAGTCTGTGTTGATGAGTTTGAAAGGAGGTGAAGTATGTTGAGATGGTGAAGACCATATCGGCCCATTATATTGCAGAACTCTGTAGAATTTCCAAATATGGGTCAAACATTATCGGCCCATTAAATTGCAGAACTACGTAGATTTTCCATGTTTCATAATTGGATTGGCCCAATTATCGGCCAGTCGTTCAATTTTATTTTGTTGTCCAATGGTTCGGTTAATTGATGGACTGGCCCATTTAACATATACTGACGGCAGTTGTGTGTACTAAATCCATGACTGGGCCTTTTAAATATTGGTTCTCATTTATGGACTGGGCCAGTACTTGTCAAGATTATTGATTTGATAATATGTTTGTCCAGTCCGACTATGTCCAACACTTATTACATAACATTACGGACTGCGCCAATGTTTTATTGAGCTAGTTGTTGCATAATTCAAGTATTGTAAAATTTCTAATAAAGAACATGGTGGACTACAAACTTTGTAATATTGCATTCACAATGGGCCATTACAATTTTTAGGACACTAATCAAATTTTTGGATGAAACAACTACTAGCGAACTTACAAGCACTAATCTATCATGTTATGACATTCCAAACATTCATTGAGTAGTCTTCCAGATAGTTCTCAATGGTCAAATTCTTATACAGGATAACCAACAAGACCCCTCCAATGACTCCGTACACTGATCTTCCGGTAGATTTGTATATGTTCACCTCGCTACAAATGAAACGGCCCATACGAACATATGACCTTGTCTCGGTTAACACAACCAGATCAGGCATGTGCAGGTCTAGCATGTGCTGGAATTGAGGTAGAAATGATGATCTGGATACATCTCTGCAGTTCCAAACCAAGACCCTAGCACCCCCAAGGTTGTTCTGACATTTCACTATGTTGAAGTCAAGTGTCACCTTTCTTTCATCTAGTGGGTTTGCACTTAAACACTCCCATCATGCGCACACTTCATTCAGGCGTAACGTACTGGAAGTGGTGAAAATCTTCAAATCATCTGAGTAGCTGTTGATCTCCATCCTGTGCCTTCTTGCGTTAAGATTACACGTTTCCATTACGGTTGGTAGTATGGATGGGGAGTCAACAATATTTGCGATGCACTCTAAAATTACATGTTCTAACTCGATTCCTTGGACACCCCCTTCTTCTTTAAGTTTCTTCTGTATGGCTATCTTCAAAGCTAATGGGAGCAGGGCCAAGTCAGACAGATCTGGTAAGTGAACTGGTGTGACGGAGTTCTTTTTCAACAGCAACAGGTCACCAGACGGTCGTTGGCCATTGGCTATCCAAGTAGTTGCAGTAGATGCAGTGACCAACTGCACAGTAATTGCCTGATATTCTCCTTTTTTTATTGGCTGTATAATGGCCAATACCCCCTTAAGTTGTTCAGGGAAACCTCCCACGGGACGTGTAGGCTTCACCTTCACAGTCAGCGTCGGGGTACGGAGCAGGACAAATGGGACCATCCTATTTTTGAACAACACAATTTTTTTTTCTACCTTCATTGCTCATACAAAAGCCTTTAGCTTTTCTTGTCTGAAGTGTGTGTGCATTTATTTTTAGGTAGTTCATTTTGGTATATTGAATTGTGAATTACGATCTGTCATGTGGTGTGAAATGGTATGAGGTGTGTGTGGGGTGATTTAAGGGGATGAAGCTTGGCGCCAAAAGGCTGTAATTGGTATTGTCATGAAATGTCAATTTCGTTGAAGTGGCGGCAAATTAAATTGAAATTTCGATTTGGCGGTTTATTTGTTGGCGCTTTTGTCTATTCTAATAAGAATACAAATTTGAGCAAAGCTGCGAAAAAAATTGCCAACTCTACTCGTATATATACGAAATACTTGTATAAAAGTAGTTTCATATTTTAAAGATTGTAATTCATCATCGTAATTAGTTTCATAGTACGAACATACATTGTTTAATCAGTTGACAATTAAATAGAACAGAACAATACTGTTAGAGAGTTTTACTCAACAACGCATAGCAACAACTAATACGGAAATTTACGAAGGATTAAGCACGTGTGATACTAAATTAGTATTACCAAAAGGTAACTCCATTGTTGATTAAGAAGTTTTTTGCTTGCCTTGTCGAACCCATTTTCAGCCTTTAATACAGTCCCTGAGTTCCGGTGGACAGATCTGATGGTCTGATATCAATCAGACATTTACTGGGCTAATAGAAAGAAGAAAAAATTTCAGATTAGGTAGAGTACAAGCGTCACGTAATTAATCAAATAATTAAAGCACATGACTTACGATGACGTCGATGGCCAAAACGTGATCATACAGAGAGTGTTTCCAGTGAGAGAAGTGTGGAGAAGCCCCAGTGGCGCACAGAAAGAACACCCCACCCAACCTTGAGTTGGGTCCGAATATGTCTGCTTTGTAATTTCCTTTGAGCTCATTACGGACGAATTGCATCATTGGCTTGCGGACCCTTGCCTCTGTTATAATCACCATCAGTGGCGAGTAGTTGTCCACAATTACTTTCATATTCTTCGAAAACGATGGCCTGTGCACGTCTCTGGCATTCCATATTATTACACTGCTACCCCTCTGAAAATTGAATTGGCCTGGAAATTTGTTTGCCCTTTCCGACTGTATAGATGTTTGAAAGTACCTATTCCCTGTTCGTCTTGTCCTGCAAGAGTATATGTCGAATGATATTTTGAAAATGAAGTCGTTTATCACCATGACGTGAACACCAGCATTATAAGCTCCCATGGAAATTTCCCTTTGTGAGATTGGAAGAGTGTACTTGCATATTTGATGTAGGTTTATCTCGAATCGCAAATCAAATATAGGGACCACATCTTGTGGAATCAATTGTTCAGCAAATGGGCTCTGTTGTAGGCATAGCCACTTCACGAATTCACCTGCACCTTTGTGTAGGTAACCATTCAGATCTGATAACAAGGGCATGTATGTTGGTCTGTATTCCTCGTCTCCTTCTTTCATCACTCTGAATGGGCTGCCATGTGTTGATTCGTACAGAGGATTGCCGCAGATTTCTGCTTTCAGTGTGTGAACTTGAATTTGATTAAACTCGCTAAAATCAAGCTGGTTGTGGAAGTATTTTGCAATCTTAAAGCAAACACGTCGAAAATTGATGCAGTACGCTTTAATCAACGGTCGGAAACGAGTCACTGGAAAACGAGTCACTGGGAATTCAGAAATTGCTGTTAATCAACGGTCGAAAACATTGAATTCACATACATTTGCTCATTAGTGAAATAAAATGCATTGCCCATATTTTGGATTGAATGAATTAGGGTCAGTTCTCATACGTTGAAAACCAGTTCAGTTCTGCTTGGAATCGTCTAACTAAGTATTATCCCAATATATAACTTTTATAATTTTAACTTATAGAGTATTACAGTTATTGATAGTTAAACTTATGCATCAACAAGCGTGATAAAATAAACATGTCACCAAGTAAAAACGAACAGAGGAAGTAATAATAATAATAATAATTACCAATAATAATAATAACAATAATAATAAGCAATAAATAAAATTATGAATAATAATAATGATATTCAATAACTAATAATAATAATAATTATTAATAAATAATAATAATAATAATAATCAATAAGAAAGAAAATAATCAATAACTAATAATAACAATAACAATAATAATCAATAAATAATAATAATAATAATAATAATAAATAATAATAATAATAATCATAATAATCAATAAATAATATTAATAATCAGTAAATAAAAATAATAATAATCAATAAATAATGATAATAATAATAATAATAATAATAATAATAATAATAATAATAATCAATAACTAATAAGAATATTAAACCATAACTAATAATAATAATAATTACTATAATAATAATCATTCCACTTCAGTGCAGTTCAGTTCAGTTAAGTTTAGCTGAGTGTAGTCAATAGCTGAGTGTACTCAATAGCTGAGTGTAGTCAATAGCTGAGTTCAGTCAATGAGAACATGCCCTTAGACTGAGCTAAATAACTACAACCATAATAAGGGTATAACAACAGAATATGCAAGCTTCCCCGTTTCCGATCTCTAACTTGATCTTCGGATGCGAATATTCCGGTAACGGAATTTACGTTCATGTTGAGGTGTCTGAGTCTCTCATTGACTGAAGAGCGTGACCATTACCCAAGGGTATAGTAGGGTATAGTAGGGTTATAATAGGGTATTGTAGGGTTATATGTATATTAGGGATTGTAAGTGTATATTATATTAGGGTTATAAGGGTATATTAGGTTATATTTAGGGTTATAAGTGTATATTAGGGTTATAAGGGTATATAGGGGGTTATATGAGTATATTAGGTTATTTAAGGGTATATTAGGGCCTCTTGTCATTGACTGAAATCAGTTGAACTGAACTAAACTGAAATGAACTAAACTGAACTAAACTAAGCTGAATTTAACTGAACTGAAATGAATATATTAGAAGAGAAGGAAATTAGGAGCTGAACGTAACTGGATTAAACTGAAATAAATATGTTATAAGTGAAGGAAATTAGGAGCTGAATTGAACTGCACTAAACGGGTCTGAACTAAACTGAATTTCAACGTAAGAGAACAGACCCTTAGTGTATATTAGGATTATAAGGGTATAGTAGGTTTATATAAGGGTATATTATGGAAATGAGTGCTCTAATTTTAGAGAGAAATGAGTGCTCTAAGAGAGAATAAGAGAGAAATTAAAGGAGGAGAGTGAAATTAGCAGGAAATGAATGCTCTGATTTTAGAGGAAATGAGTGCTCTGAATAGTCAAGGAGAGAGAAAATGTTTTGTAAGGAGAGAGAATAAGTAAGGAGAGTCAATTCCTTTGTTAATAGGTTCTAACGTCGTCAGATTGTCATCCATGGAAAAAGTCAGAACTGCCCTTAACTTTGCAGATGACAGTACTAGAATGCCCCTTCATAAACGGGGATTGTGTTATCAACCTGATAGACTTGAATTTGCTCGTATATTAGGGTACAATAGAGTTATATAGGGGTTTATTAGGGTTATGTAGGGGTATATAAGGTTTATATAAGGATATATTAAGGTATAGTAGGGTTGTATAAGGGTATATTAGGGTTATATAAGTGTATATAAGGGTTATATAAGGGTATATTATTAAGGTAATAGTATGAATATATAAGGGAATAAGTGTCAAATAGGGTATGTTAGGGTATAAGGGTATAGTAGGAATTATAAGGGTATTTAAGGGAATCCGAGGGTTTGTTAGTGTATTGTTCGGTATATGGAGGTTTATAAGCATATATTAAGGTTATAACCGGATGTTATAACCGGATATTAGTTGTTATCAGACCATAAGAAACTAATATAATTTGACTGCTAAACCCAGTATAATATGATCAAACAAAATGTGCTCAGACTATATGAACCGCTTACTCTTAAATTTAAGCAATAATTTATAAATTTAGTCGTTAGATTAGTAATATATTATAAGATGGTTATAAGGCTTGAATATTAGATTTTCTCCTTTGTTGGATTGTTATTACTCGAAAATTACGATAGTCTTAAATTGAAGTTGTAAAGTTCCAACATAAATAAAGGAAAATAAAAACTCAAAATAAAAATTAAATAGACAGTTCTAAAAAAACTTAAATCTTGAGTCGCCCAGAACATGTAGCTCGAGAATGGTGACTTAGCTTATTACATTTACATGATACTAGCTACTGCATCTCCTTCACGGAGCTTGTGACAGAAATGATGGTACTCCCTGCAAATTTAAAGCACAAAACCTGGATTAGATTACAAAAGAACATATACGTATATATAATTAACTTTAAAACTATTAATGTTTAATAAATAATTATTAAGACAACCTGAATGAAAACATTAACCATTGCAGCTCGAACAAATGTTGGCCTTTGTTGAATTTCAACAACATCTGGGTTCCACATCAGAGCACATCCCCCGTCGAAAGAGGATACTGGGGTGGCATAGAGATGGTATCTCCCCTGGAGATGGTTAATCATGGTAGCAACATTCTCGCCGGAGTGCCTGATCTCGAGGAGCAGTATGATCGAGGAATTATGAATTTGAGACAGAAGGGCAAAGTTTGACAAGAATGAAGGTCGGGTAATCCCCTTTATATTCCACACAGCTATTCGAGTATTAGGATTGAGTGGGTTCAACCCAGGAACAAAGAGAGGGCCTCCTATAGGGTCTACCATAACAGTGTGATAAGGTGAACCTGACGATGGAGCCGAAATCCAATTACAAAATACCCTCAAACCAAGAGCACTGCTGTGCATTGGGGCTTCAACTATCTGCAGGGCATCTGTATACGTAGCCATACAGAGGTATAGCCTATCAAACTGCAATTGAAAGATTGGTGCTGCGAAATCAAGCACGTGGACTGGATCGAGCAAGTGGAGTAGGTGGAAGGGTACGCCATGGTGGTTCTTAAGGTACCATTCCAGTTGCCGTTTCATACTCTTTGGCAGTGCATGGCAGTTACCTATGTTAGGCAGGTGCGCCGGTACAGGTGCTCCTTCGACGTTTGGTAACCGCATTTTCAACCTACGGTGGGTGTATGAGGACATATGAGGGTTCAGGATGTAATTTGATAGCACTTCTTTTGAAACATAAGGACTGTGTGGTGAATTTGCAGCAGGACACAAGTAAATTGTATTGTTGAAATCAATTTCAGGTTGTAACCCACCACGTGGTTTGAAAAAACAAATTACAGGGTTTCGAAGGCGTGCATAAGAAATTGAAGCCATTGAAACAAGCAAAGCTCTGTTTATTTTAGGTTTGGTAGGGAATCAAGTAGCCATATGACCTTAACAGTAAATTCATATAGTAAAACTAAAATAAATAAGATACAAAATTTTATTTATTTATTTATGTTTTTAAAAAAAAAATTTTAAAAAATTGAAAGATATTATCATTCAAATGCTAATTAGTTGCCACATTCAAATGCTACTTGGAACATTCAAATGCTAATTAGTGATTAACATTGTATGAGTAACAAGTAAATACATTGTGACAATATGATTAAAGAATAGAATTGTTAAAATCCATTTAGGAGTAATAGAATAAAATGAAGGACATAAATACAAATTAACGACGATAAGCATTCCATAAGTTCTTATTCATTTGTTAAGTTATAAAATTAAAATATTATGATAAAACTATTACATTCACCTATATTACTAATAATATTTCAAAACCATAAATAAATAATTAATTTAACACACTGAAATTAATGGTTGATTAACAAAGAAGGACATAAATAAACAAGGACCATTACTAATGTTCTAATGTGCTTTGGGTGCCTAATGGTCTTTTACAAAACTGTGGTCTTCCACCACTATCATGCAATAACTTGTAGAGTTTGGTCATACCCCTAGGAAAGAGAGCCTGAAACAAGAGTACTGTAAAAAAAAAAAAGGAGTAGTGCATCAAAAACTGGATTAAAGCAGCTTTGACAATGACAATTCACTATAAAGTAGGGGTGTAGGGGCTTGGTCTATTTTTAATATAGCATTAAAATAATAATTAATAGGACTACGAATCATATTTAGAAGGTAATATCTTTTACTTTGCTTCATCTACTGCATAAGAATACACCAAATTAGTACAAAAGAGTATTGCCTTTTCAAGTGTACAGTAAAAAGGTGACATAAAGGCATTAAGCAGCCCATCAATTATAAATCACAACATATCTTCGAAATACAATTTCGACCTTACAGCCGGTACGCAAAGATTTATACAATACGCAGTGTATCTTTTGAAACATTTCCATAAGAGGGCTCGAAACATAAGCATGGTCCTTATCAACACATTGAGTCGAATGATATTGAGTGGTCCATCATAATGTCATTTACGCGAAAAACATTTAATTTTGAATTACAATTGTATTTCATCTTATACGAACATTTTCAAGTTGCTAAAAAAGCCGCGAGTAAGCAAGCAAGGAATATAAGTTATTAAATTAATAAACATGTGTACCTTAGTTAATCAAACCATTATTTTATTTTTTTAAAAAAACATATTTTTAGAAGACTATGATCACTAATAACATAATTTTAGAACACTATTATCACTAGTAATTAACTTGTAAAACAAAATCATAGTGCAGCTTTGCAACAAAATTGTTAATTTTAAAAAATATTTTGATAATAGTAAGGTTGTGTATCTCCCACTATATAAACATGTGCTTTGAGATACCATACACACACCACAAACCAAATCCAAAACCCTAGCAAAACATGTCATCTTCATCCAAAGCTGTCATCTCTCACCCAAATATGAGCGAAAACTTGAGTGATGGTTCATCACCCACCAAGATCCTGAGGAAGGATAAGAAACAAGCCCCACCTGATGGAACTACGAATCGTAGTCAACCTTTATATCCAACTGGAGACAAGGGGAAAGACATTATGAATCCTTCTTCTTCTTCTGATCAGCACCCTCATGTAAAGAGATCCAACTGTGCGTAAGAGCACCCTCCTTGCTGCCACACTTAACCAGAACGCCTTTGCTATGCTTCATCAGCTGCACCCCTACTACAGGAAGGACGAGCCTGCACCCTGTGTGAAGAGGAAACTCCTTGAAACAATGAGGGTTGGACTCGGGGTGAGTCAGGACAACTCATCCAGCTCATCAGGTGGGGGAAAGAAGAACGATGGTAAGGATGAGCCTGATGATGAAGCTGCATTTGGTATCCTTGTAAGGAGCCAAACCCTTGGTGACGTTGGTGTGATGTACACCATCACGAGCAGCTAAACTTTCGAGCATATCTACGATGATTATGCTGCCAAACTAGACCTCTACAAGACGAAATTTTTATTGGCTGATAATCGTACAAGAAAGGCCATTGCACCTACTGATACGGCTGGAGAGGTTGGTATAACTAATGGTCAGATCGTGCTTGCTATCGACAAGGTATAAATTATGAACATTTTATGAATTAATGATTCTTATTTGCCTAATAAATTTTGTGTTCAAAATTTTAATACATGTTCACTGCAGGATCTAGAGTATAATATGAATGCTGCATTACGAAAGTTTTATCTATGTGACATTAGTGGATCATCTAAGAAGTTGACAGTCCACGCTGAGTTGACCATGAAGGTGCTGAAGCTGTATTACATGGCCGCTGAGATCTATAGATGTCATGTTAGCCAACTTGTCCTAATGCACAAGAACAGGGTCCTCGTACAAAATCACACAATCCGCAATGCTGGCATCAGGAGCTTGAAGCGCGTGTACTGCCTTCCCTGGAAGAAGTGATATGTGTGTCCTGGCCAAATTACATATTTGGCTAAGCTAGGTTTAAGTAAATTTAATAACGATTATGGGGTTATGTTGCCCTATTCTATTAGTTTTAATGGTTATTAGTGGTTGTTTATCTTAAGTTTATGATTAGGATACTAATGTAGTTTGGGATCATTTTGTTCAATTTGATTGGGCTCATTTTGTTCATTTTGTTTGGGCTCATTTTGTTTATCTTTATTTCAAGAATTGGAGTGTATCCTGTTGATGAGTCTATGAAGATGATTATTAGTTGTGTTGATTATTTGTTGATGAATCCTAGAGAGACTTCTCTAAAAATTTTAACAGTATTATTATGTAATGTAATAATCCATCATTAAATAAAAAACAACTCAAAGTCATAATCCTTCAACAACTTTAAAACAACCCTAAAGTTTTGGGCCAATGAACAGGTGTGTTATATTTAGCCCATAAAATCAGTCCAATAAGATTATTAATAAACCGAATTAGAATCTTGGGACACTATACAAGACTAGTATTCATGGACAATCATAAAATACTTTGGGCTAACAATACACTGTCTCCACCTACATTAGGTTGTGTAAGGTGGATGTTATCATCATCCTGTAAATGTAATGTAATGCAAAATGCCAGGATGTTAGAACACATACTGTTAGTGTCAAACAATATGCTCATATCAAATATACCATCAGATATACCTGCAACTGGGCGTACTCCAAACCTTGTTTGGCCTGACAAAATGCACAAAACCATAAGGAGCTTGTGGCTTATCATCCTCAAATATTAAGACAGATGGGTGATCATGTAAGGCATACCTTTGATTTTCGTGGCTTAACTTGCTTGTAAGCAGTCTCTAAATAGGCTTTGTTGCGAGAACCCTTTGGTATACCACGACGACGTTTTTTACACGTAGGGTCAAGAACGTTGGGAACGGTGGACGGCGAAGGAAGGGACTGTCCATTAACAGTATGGCTGTTAGAACCAATGTCTGAATGTGGATCCTCAACCATGGGGTAATCACTCGAAGCAATTAGTTTCATATATTTTAGGCTCCGATCCTTCACTTCAATGTGGAGAGTAGACAGGGAGTCTATCACTAGCTGTACGGTTTCATCATCTACAGCAGAAGCATCCTCACACACCCCCTCAAATGCATTCATCATCATGTTGAATTTTTTAACCTCAGGTGTCTGCGTGGGGTCATGGTACGCGACCTTTACCCTTGTGTGCTTCCTCACGATATCTTTGCGCCACCTGTCTAACATGTACTTTGTAGGTATTTTGAAGACCATGTTCTGATCCAACACACGAATACAATGCTTGCAAATAATACCATGTGTTTCAAATTTTCTGCATTCACAAGTGACCTCTTTCAGAACATGGTTATACATAATCGCATAATTGCGCCTACGGTCCGTAATGACTTCTTCACTTTCCCCTTCCGGTACTATCCAAACCCTGTCTTTGATCACATATCGAACCGTTGTCTCATCAATAACATGTTCTCCCCTGTCATAGCATTACATCAATCGGGATAGTTCTCTTTGAATCTCCTGGAACTTAGCATCAGTGTAAATCTTTTGGAAAAATGCTTCATGTCGGAAACCACTAACAAGTCGCCGAATGTACTTTGTTGCCTTTGCATCTGCTTCATTCTCATCCTGGACCCTCTTTGTCATTGCCCTGGTGTATCGCATAGGAAATTCGCAAAGTTTCATCTTCCGATTAACAAACCCATCAAAGAAATTGTTAATGCTCTCCACACGTTGTGTTGTCTTCATCCTGACCCAAAAGTATTCGCGCATGAAGGCCGGGATCCACATGTGTCTCTCTTCATATAGACCAACCAACCATTCATTATCCTCAAGACTGAATTTTTTCATGCATTCACACCACCTTCTATCAAATTCTTCTACAGTGAAGCTCTCATATATTATTGCCTTCAAGGGACTCTTGAAATCTTTGAACCTAAACATAGACACCCATATCCATACCCACTGTTAAATTCATCACATAACATAGAACAATATTCATCATGAAGCAATATGACATCATATAACATAACTTACCCCTTGCATTTGCCAAGCTTTTCTGAAAATTTCTTAACAATGTACCATATGCACCACCTGTGCCTGGCAGTTGGCATCGTTTGAGCCACTGCATTGCGCATTAAAGCAGCTTGATCTGTCAAAATAGCTACGGGGGCTCTATTTTCCATGCAAGCCAACCACTGCTGGAAAACCCATTTGTACGTCTCAGTGGTTTCTCGGGACACTAAGGCACAACCCAAAAGGATGGACTGCCCGTGATGGTTGACGCCCACAAAGTTTACAAACGGGAGTTCATATTGGTTAGTAAGGTATGTAGCATCAAAACAAACTACATCCCCGAAATACTCATATGCTGCCCGACTTCTCGCATCTACGCATAAAACATCCTTCAAGCGACCAAATTCATCTAACCGATGAGTGTGATAAAAGTTTTGATTATCCTCTTGCATCCACTCAAAATACGTCATCATGGGATTAGCATCTCCTCCCTCAAATTTCAGCCTTTTTGCTTTATACACCTCATGCTGCATGTCCTTAAAGCTGGGAAATTCCTCCTCCTCTTTCTCATGCAATAACCCTTTGCAAATTTTGGACACATACACCCCCTCTTCATAAAAATTAAGCAACACCTTCTTCACATTAGCAGTGTAATTCTTCATCCTATACTCTTTGACTAACTTGGACATGCTGGGGTTAACATCATGTGTGTGCACATTAATCACCTTCCTTACCTCCCAGTCCCCTTTTGCATTCACCCCAACATATATAGTAGCACCACATTCGCATTTCTTTAATTTTCTCTTCCCTCGACTAAGTTTATCTGCCCCAATAACTCCATTAACCTTATCACCACAGCCAGCAACATCCATTGATTTAGCCCTATTTTTGGCCTCTCTCTTAGCCCTCATGTTAGGTGCACCCCAACACTCACACTTCCACGTTGTAGTCAAACGCTCATTGGTTACTTTCAATTTGGTTGCTTGCACCCTTGAAACACCAAAACCCTCCTGCTCACCATACTGTTTGTAATACTTCTCTACATCCTACCATGACTTAAACACCATCCCCACTTTCGGAGATTCAACCAAAGGAGCAGAACATACCCTGTTAGTTGAGACTACAGTCTTAATTGGAGAACGATATTCAATTACATTACTGCATTGCCCATCACGGATTGGTGACATTGGAGGAACACACATATCTAATGACATATCATCAACAGAGTTAGGACAGTACAAATCATCGCCAATTTCACCTTCCCCAACTCCATCCCCAGTACCATTGTCATAACAATCATCCCCAAATTCACCTTCTCCAACTCCATCACCAATTCCATTGTCATAAAGATAATCCCCAAATTCACCTCCTCCGACTCCATCCCCAGAAACATTGTCATGAAAATCAACCATCCTGATTTAATTAATAATCAATACCCCCAAATCATAATATTAAGAGTTGCATACTACAAAATAATACAAGGTACCTGTTCACAACGCTAACAACAATCATAACTCTAAATAAACGAGTCTATACAAACCACATTAAATAAAAAAAAGCGTCTTAACCCTACACACAGGTTCAAGTAAACACATTCATGCTTCAATTTTGAATACAATTAAGCACCTGAATATTTGGTTTCCAATAATAACAATTCAAATTTAAGCTCCAAATTACAATCCGACGCAGCCAAAGTACAAACCAATAGATTCGAAATGATCCAATTACAAAAAAAATTGCATAACACAGTCCAGAATTAGTACGAATCAATAAGCATGGAGAACGTACCTTATAAGCCCTAAAACAAATCCAATTTCTCCTCAACAGCTCCAATAATGCCTGCTATGTGCTTCGACGAGTTCCAAATCGCATGCTCATATATATATATATATATATATATATATATATATTGGGATGTTTATGTATACTATTTAATCTCAAACTGCAGTGTTTGTCTTATTTTCTCTTTCTTCTGCAAAAGTAACTTCCATGTGTTGACGAAGCTGTTCTAATCGTTAACAAAGGCGTTAACTATCCGTTACTAAGGTCGCTTCGCTGCCAGCTTGGACTGGGACCCCTAATGCATTATTTAATTGCCTTTCGCAGAAAACTAGGCAAAATAATTACGAGAATGCCATTTGATAAACGTTTGTTGTTTATCAATTTGAGAAACCTGGGCGGCCTCGCACCAAAAACCATCGTACTGACTTGTGGGAAAAGCACCCATCCATAATTCCTTTGGGAGTGAAATTTCAATATGATGTACATAATCTTCTAATTCCTTGTGGATATTTCTAAGGGCTCCATTGGCTACAAGGTCTTACTGCTTATTGCTCAAACACTTCGTATATTTTACTCGTATTTTTTTATCTTTTTGAATACACTTATTATTGCTTATCTGATGTATAAAATAAATAACTTCCATTGAATGAGCAAAACAAATTGAAATCAAATATTGGTAAGTAGATAGATCCCCATAGTATTTAAAGCATTAATGATATACATATATACAGTAGGCCAGTTGGCTAAAGGCTACAAATACCATTGTTGTATGTGATCCTTACATAGAAGTATACAACTCTAATTTTTCATGTTTTATTGGCTAGAATAATGGACCCAAGTTCCATTATATTCAATTTATTTTTGACTTTTAATTTTCTCCAATATTCTGATGATGTGTCAAATTTCTAATGATTTGTATACAATTCAAGCTGTTTTGAAAAAGAAAAAAAGTATTGGTAAGCAAATCCCAATGATAATGCATTAATTCAACAAATATAGTAACATGCTGCTGCTCCCATAACGCATAAAAATATTTGATTCCGGTTCTGTTAAATTGTGACTCGAAATCTAGTAGGGCTGACTTTGAATGCTTATATCTCTCAAACTACAACTGATTTTGAGATGATTCAAGTTGGAGGTGATATCTTGGTTAACGAGCTTTTCAACGATAGGTCATATGCCCAATCTCGATAAGAAACAAGAAAGTTATGACTGTTTTAGAAAAACCTGACGAAGTTGGAAATTTGCAACGAGGCTGCGAGCTATAGCTCTATGCGAGTGAGCTATAGCTCGGCCCTTTGAGGACTTGCGGCAGGTATGAGCTAGCTGCCGAGCTATAGCTCAGTAGTTAGGTTATTCTAGAATAATTTATGGAATATTTCCTAAAATTATATCTTTTCTATGATGGCTATTTGAGTATACTTGGGGAACAATCTTAGGGTTTTATTAGGGTTTCATTGTGTTATAAAGGACCCTTTAGTTGATCATTTAGATTATACCTTTTGAGCTATTAGATTTAGGACTCCTTGTATTATTCTCTTGTTTCTTTCTCCATTATAGTGAAGAAGCTCTCGAATCCCCCACCCGTGGATATAGGTCTATTTTGACCGAACCACGTAAATCCTTGTGTTCTTTGTTTATCTTCTTATTGTTTTTCTCGTTCTTAATTTCATTGACTTGTTTCGCATTAATCAAACACAATTAAACCATTATTTCCTAACAAGTGGTATCTAGAGCCAAGGTTTTAATTAAGGTCTTAAGGTTTAGGTGTTTATAGATTAGTTGGATTAAATTATGCCAATGAAATTTGATATTGAGAAATTCGACAGGCAAGTGAATTTTGGCCTATGGAAATTGAAGATGAAAGCCATCTTGGTTCAAAGTGGCTATCACAAGGCTCTTGAAGGTGTATCCAAAAAGCCTTCGGGCATGACGGTGGATACGTGGGAGGAGATCGATTTGAAGGCTCTTTCGGCAATTCAATTATGTTTCTCTGATGATGTTTTGAGAGAGGTTGCCAAGGAGACGACTTCTGAGGGTTTGTGGTTGAAGTTGGAGTCACTTTATATCACAAAGAGCGTGACCAACCGTCTACTAGTCAAATCTAGACTTCATGATCTTTGTCTAGAAGAAGGTAAACTGCTTAAGTCTTATTTAGATGAATTTTTCTCTATTATTATGGATTTGCAAAACATCAATGTTGAGATCGATGATGAGGATATGGCTATTAGGTTTTTGTGTTCTTTACCGCCTACGTATAAGCATTTTCGAGATACTTTATTGTATGGTAGAGATGATTTGAGTTTGGAGGATGTTAAGGATGCCTTAACCCACAGAGATTTAATTGACAATAAGTTGGTTAATAAATCTAATAATCCTGCTCTAAACAATGCTTTAGTTGCTCATGGTGGTAATAAGAATTTTGGTAAAGGAAAAGTTTGTAACTATTGTCATGTGAAGGGTCATATCAAAGCCGAGTGTTGGAAATTTAAGAAGAACAATGTGGAGAAGTCCAATGAGGACAAATTCGCAAATATTGCCAATACCGACGATGATGATGATTATGAACTTAAGGGTTACGAGCTTTGGGGTTGCGGTTTCTACGATCTCTTCATGATAAGTTCCCCTTTGAGATCTCTTGGTAAAACGAGAAACCGTGTGGATTTTTGGTATGGAGTCAATGATAGATTGCTTTTGATTTTTGTTTGTAATAAAGTAGCAATCTTGGTTATGCATTAGATTTTGTTCTAGTTATGCTCTTTCTTATCTCAATTTTGGTACTTTTGTGATTTACTAAGTACAATTGAAATTTAGAAATTCTTGATGTAATTTTTATTTTTCTAGGATTGCTTAAGTTTTTTTTTTTGTTTGATTTTTTGAGATGAAGAAGTGTTTGAAGAGAGTTTGGTCAATTTTGATAAACATGCTTGGCGTCGGGACATTATACTCTCAATCTAGGCCATGTGATGGTTTTGTGTACGGAATTTTGTGTTCGGAGACGCACCGGTTCACAAGTTATGGAAGATGTCCGTTTGGTGATAGCCTAATGTGAGTAGGCTTATGGAGTTTTGTTTAAGGTGGAGGCTTTATATTTTATTATGAGCATTACTTCTTGGTTTTTGGTTCAAGGTGGAGTTACCTTGTTTTTTGGTCAATTTCAAGTCAAGGTGGAGATTGTTAAATTGTGACTCGAAATCTAGTAGGGCTGAATTTGAACGCTTATATCTCTTAAAATACAATTGATTTTAAGATTATTCAAGTTGGAGGTGATAGCTTGGTTCAAGAGCTTTCCAACTATAGGTCATATGCCCAATTTCGATAAGAAACGAGAAAGTTATGACCATTTTAGAAAAAACCTGACGAAACTGGAAATTTGCAACGAGGATGCGAGCTATAGCTCTATGCGAGTGAGCTATAGCTCGGCCCTTTGAGGACTTGCGGCAAGTATGAGCTAGCTGCCGAGCTATAGCTCGGTAGTTAGGTTATTCTAGGATAATTTATGGAATATTTCCTAAAACTATATCTTTTCTATGACGGCTATTTGAGTATACTTGGGGAACAATCTTAGGGTTTTTTTTTTTTATTTTTTTTTTGGTAAGTAAAGAATTTTATTACCAAAAGTAAAGAGTTACTACCCATAAAGTAGCAACTAAAAGAAATGAAAGTGCAATACATGCCCTCTGGGCCAAAGAAGCAACAAAACCAAAGCCCGAAGGCAAAACAAAAATAACTACTACGGAATCTCTAACTCCTAAAGGGAGAGGATACCATAGCTACATCCAAAAGTGGGTAAAAACCCATACATACAAAGATATCAAATAAGGTGAGTACAATAAAGCATCAGCTTAACTTGAAAGCATACACCATCCGCCAGCATCATCATAAAAACAGCTTGATAACAACACCACAGTCAGCCTGCCAGGACAGAACAGTAGCATGCATGCAGTACAAACCAGGACAAAAGATCGCAGCCATGAACCATCATCCAGCAGCACAAACATAAGGAGGCTCAAGCAAGACAAAGAATAAGACAAACAATCTTAGGGTTTTATTAGGGTTTCCTTGTGTTATAAAGGACCCTTTAGTTAATCATTTAGATTATACCTTTTGAGCCATTAGATTTAGGACTCCTTGTATTATTCTCTTGTTTCTTTCTCCATTATAGTGAAGAAGCTCTCGAATCCCCCACCCGTGGATGTAGGTCTATTTTTGACCGAACCACGTAAATCCTTGTGTTCTTTGTTTATCTTCTTTATTGTTTTTCTCGTTCTTAATTTCATTGACTTGTTCCGCATTAATCAAACACAATTACACCATTATTTCCTAACAGGTTCTTTGATCAATAAATTGAAATAAGAGATTGCAAAATTCAAAGGTTACATTAAAGAAAAAGACAAAATATTGGTCATGTACGATGAAATATTGAAAGTTATTAAAATTCATCGTGTTAGCTGATTTTCTTTAACTATTTGAGTGATTATATTAACTTATTTGACTATTTGATTATAGACAAAATACACTTTAATAATCACAATTGTTGCCGATGTACTTTTAATAATCCCAACTAAGGTTTATTTTTTAATAATCCTAACTATGACCTAAGTTTTCCTCCAATGTCCTAACCGATCAA